AAATCCATCGGAAAAGAAAGCGACAAATCACCGGAAAAATCCTCACTGAAGGATGTTCCGGCGGATGTCGACGGAGAGATGAGCTATTCTTATCCGAAGCTCGCCAACTTCTACGAGTTCTTTTCTCTCTCCCACCTCACTCCTCCTCTTCACTGTACTGCCCTCTCTTTCTGATTCACATTTTATCTTCCGTTTACTTCTTGCTAGAATTGGTTTTAGTATTGATCTTCTTCTGTGGATTTTGCAGTTATAAAGAAGGTAGCGAAGAGGCAAGTTGAGGAGATTTCAGCTGAGGATCATCTCTTCTCGCTTGATGTAAGATCTCTTCTCTAGTAACTTGCACATAACTAGTTTTTGTATTAACTTTAGCATTTTTGTATAGGGAAATTGTTAGGAAGAAAAATCTATTTAATATATGTAGGTTGAATTAAGATGCACAGGAGAAACAATAAAGTAGAAATCTAAGTGTAGAAAATAAAGCAAACACAAAATTTACGTGGTTCACTACCACAATGTGTGATAGCTGCATCCACGGGAGAAGGAGAACATCAAGTCCACTATGAAATCAATGCTGTACAAGAGATTTGAATAACCTAAATTACTCAAACCACACTCCAGTAGGAGTCCCCAATACACCCAAGCTCACTCTGAAAGGACCGCCTTGTTTCCTCTTATGGTGGCTGGCGTCTAACTCTCACCCCATTCTGCCCTCGAAAAAGCTCCTTTATATTTAGTGGAGTATAAAAGGGTAGTTTGATAATTCTGGAGAAAGCCCAATACGCACAGATCATTTAAGCATACTGGAGCCTGGATTTTCTGGTATGCTGCCAGATTTATGAATCTTCATGACTGGTTCCACAATCTTGCTGCCAACTTCCAAGGCTTAAACATGATTTCAAGGCATACCTCACAGTATGCATTATTGGATTAAATTAAGCTATATGCTTATGTTATGCGGAAAGGAAAGCATATATAGAGAATCATAAATATCTTTAAGAATAAATCAGAGGAACATTGATCAACTTTTATCTTTGAAACATTGAGATATTTTTTAAACGAATTCAATAAAAAAATGTGTTTAGGAGATTACTGAGTTTCTAATGTTGTTGGAATGGCCAGGTGAAGGTTTGCAATGGGAAGCTGGTTCATGTTGAAGCTTGCAGGAAGGGCTTCTACAGTAATGGAAAGCACCGGATCATGTGTCATAACCTTGTTGATTTGTTGTGCCAGCTTAGTAGAGCCTTTGACAATGCATGTTCTCTGCTTCCTTTTTGTTTTTGCCTTCAAACAATATCATTTTCTTGATTTGGCATCGTTAATATACTGGTTTCTGATTCGTCTTTTTCCCACAATCTGTTGTGTATCAAACTTTGCTAAAGATTTTTTCTTTTTTTGCTCAAGCTAATGATCTCATCATTCATATCACAGGCATTCAACGATCTTATGAAAGCATTCTCAGAACATAACAAGGTATACAATATTGAATCCGTTTCATCCCCCCAATTGAGATGCTTAAATTCATAATGCAGAAGATATTGCTCGGTAGGATAGTCTAGTGACCACTTTCAGCCCTCATAGCTCATAAGTTTTTCTTTTCAGTTTGGAAATCTTCCATATGGCTTCAGAGCCAACACATGGCTCGTCCCTCCAGTTGCTGCACAGTCACCATCAATTTTCCCACCTCTCCCTGTGGAGGATGAGACTTGGGGTGGTAATGGTGGTGGTTTAGGAAGAGATGGCAAAGGCGATTCAATATCTTGGGCTAATGAATTTTCATTCCTTGCATCCATGCCTTGCAAGACAGCAGATGAGAGACAGGTCAGGGACAGGAAAGCATTCCTTCTTCATAGCCTATTTGTTGACGTAGCAATTTTTAGAGCCATTAAGTCTCTGAAGCATGTAATGGCAAAGCCGGATTCAGAATTCACACTAGAAAATGGTGAACTTCTGTATACTGAGAGGATGGGGGATTTGAGGGTTACAGTGATGAAAGATGCTTCTGATGCAAGCTATAAGGTGGACACTAAAATTGATGGAATTCTAGCAATTGGAGGGGATGAAAAGAAGCTAGTAGAGAGAAACCTCCTGAAAGGGATCACTGCTGATGAAAATACTTCTGTTCACGTAAAATATAATCACTCTTTGTACTTTTTCTTTTGGAGTTACAGATTGAAGTCTTTTCTTTCTAAAGTAGCTGAAGATCGTTCTACAATTTTGAGTGCAGGATACTTCCACTCTTGGTGTTATGAATGTAAGATACTGTGGTTATGTTGCTGTTGTGAAGGTTGAAGGTGGAGAGAACAAAAATGATGGTCCTTCATCTCAAAGCATCGAACTTGAACAGCCTGAAGGCGGTGCCAATGCCTTGAATATTAACAGGTTACCGTAATTCATGCAATATGTTGCTGAAATATATTTATGGTTTGCTCTTGAAGTTTAGTACATGGAAGACCAAACAAAAGAGTTTAGTGCATAGAAATTATCTTTATATGGTAACTAAATAAACTAGAAGGGAGATAAATGAATTTTGATTTAAGTTTTAGTTTTTCCATTACTCTTAATTTTCTCTTAAAAAAAAAAGAAGTTTGGTTGGTAATGAGAAGAAATTTATAGATTGCTGTAGCTATATAGTTTACATCTGACATTTCCTTTCTTCTTACAGTTTGAGATTACTTCTTCACAAAACTTCAACTTCAGAACAGAATAAACTAGCACCACATTTGCAAATTTTGGAATATAAAGAGCTTAATGCTTCCCTATCTTTTGTCAAGAAACTGGTAGAAGAAAGTCTCGCAAAGCTTGAGAGGGAGGAACTAAAATGTAAATCTTTTGTGAGATGGGAACTCGGAGCCTGTTGGACACAACATTTACAGGACCAAAAAAATACAGAAAAAGATAAAAAACCATCTGGAGAGAAAGCTAAGAATGAAATGAAGGTTGAGGGACTTGGAAAACCACTTAGGCCCATCAAGAGTAACAAGAAACAGACAGATGTTTGTACGCTAAAAATTGAGACTGGAAACTCAAGTTCCCATTCACATGGTGTTAATGGGGAAGTTGAAAATGTCACTTCAGCTTCTATAGGATCTCAGCTTGAAGACAATGCCAAAGATAATGAACTTGCCTTACAGAGGATGTTATCCAATGAGGCCTTTGCTCGATTGAAGGAATCAGGCACTGGACTTCATCGCAATGTGAGTATCCTTGAAAGATGTTGTGTACTTGTTTTATCTTTGCAAAACCCTGTATTAACATATTGTATGTGTTTTTAGTCCTTGCAGGAGCTAATTGACTTGTCACAGAAATATTACAGTGAAGTTGCCCTTCCAAAACTGGTAAAAGTCTTTAATATTTCCTTACTCTTCTAATTCTGCATCTAAAGAAGGTTTTAGTATTTCCTGGTTCTAGCACTTATCATGGAATACAGGTAGCAGATTTTGGTTCTCTGGAACTCTCACCTGTTGATGGGCGGACTCTAACTGACTTCATGCATACTAGAGGTCTTCAGATGCGTTCGCTGGGGCATGTTGTAAGTTCTCTTAATGAATCAGTTAATCATTTTATTCACAACTTTCAAGTTGCAAAACACCATAATACTTGCATCCTCATGAAGAGATAGAGCAAAGGAATCTTATCTAGAAGTATATGAAACATTCAGCACCTGTGTGGTTAACTACATTAGGCTGACTTTGCATTTGTTTTTTGCATCAGGTCAAGCTTTCAGAAAAGTTATCACATGTGCAGTCCCTTTGTATTCATGAGATGATAGTTCGGGCATTTAAGCATATTCTTCGGGCAGTTATTGCTTCTGTTGGCAATAGTAATACTGAGAAAATGGCTGTATCAATAGCTACTGCACTGAACCTGATGCTTGGGGTGCCTGAAAATAGAGATCTCCATAAGTCTTGCAAAATCCATTCACTTATTTGGAGGTGGTTGGAGGTATTTTTGATGAAGCGGTTTGAATGGGATATTACCAACTTAGACTACAAAGATGTGAAGAAATTTGCAATTCTACGTGGATTATGTCACAAAGTATTCTACACTAACCTTAATTCTGATTTTTTGGATTTTTGGGCTGGGTAAATTTTGCAATATTAAGCCCCTGAGTTCGTTGCTGATGGTTGCAATTAAGATAGGATGAATTGTAGGACACATCTGATCAATTTATATTCTTGTTTTGGAAATGCTTCAGTCATGCAAGAGTGAAGCACATGGTGGACTTGCTTAAATGTTCAGAGTTCACCTAAAATGCATGACTGTAGTTTATTTCTATTTGTAATAACTCATAGAAGCTTGCCATATTGGTTGATCGTAGCCATTATTGTTAATTATATGGGTATCACATCTAAAATTAATATTTTGCTCAATTAAGGGAAACGAATATGTAGCAAAAACAATTTTTAAGGTACCATATTAAATTATTTTAAATGCATAGAGAGGGTTTTAGTCATGAGTGTATTTATTAGTGAAATTCATCAAAAAGGATATGGTATTGATCTAACATGAATACTGACTGTTTTTTGGTCCTACATTCTTTTTTGTAGGTAGGAATTGAGTTGGTACCAAGGGATTTTGACATGGATTCTCCAAGGCCATTCCAAAAATCAGATGTTGTTAGCCTGGTTCCAGTTCATAAGGTGATAAAGTGGACCCTTAATTCTGGAACATGGTATATTGTTTCCAAATTGATTGATGTTCATGTTGTGTCATTATTATTTTCTATCACTCTGCAGCAAGCTGCGTGCTCATCTGCAGATGGAAGGCAACTCCTTGAATCATCAAAAACGGCTTTAGACAAGGGAAAACTTGAAGATGCAGTGACATATGGAACAAAGGTATATGACTTCCACAACCATGACTTCTATTGGTTTTTGTCTAAACTGCTTATAAAGTTGAGCCTTATTGGCTATTGTAGTAACAAAGTTTGTTACCTGCCATGCTTTTTCTGGTGCTGCAGGCTCTTGCAAAGCTGGTAGCAGTTTGTGGTCCCTATAATCGGATGACAGCTGGAGCATACAGCCTTCTTGCTGTGGTTTTATATCACACTGGAGACTTCAATCAGGTCTTTCTCTTAATTAGCTCTTTCTTTCTCTTAATTAGTTCTTTCTGTTGTTGCTGAACCTCCAGGCGATGGAATACAAGAATTATATTTTCTTCTCAGAATCATATTGAAATATACTTGAGCAAAAGTGTTGCTGTTCTGTTTAATAAGGTTTTCAAGTTGGACATAATTCAACCATCTTTCTGTATTTCAGGCTACAATATATCAGCAAAAGGCATTGAATATCAATGAGAGAGAGTTGGGACTAGATCATCCAGATACAATGAAGAGCTATGGGGATCTTGCTGTGTTCTATTACAGACTTCAGCACACAGAACTAGCTCTCAAGTACTGTTTTACCTCTTTATATTTTATAAATAAAATTGCTTGACTTTTACATATGCTAAAGTCAAACTTATGTAAAATCCTCGAATTTCTATGCTATTGTGGTATAATCAAGTTTCTGATCAAGGCATCTGTTGATTACCTCGATGCTTCGGCTAACACATTCTTTACTTTCTTCTTTGGCTGATGATCCGTATATTTACTGTGTCCATGAAATTGCTTTTTAACATGTCATAATGCAGATATTACATGCTATCAGTTGTTTGATTTTTTCCTAGGAGGTTTCATTGAATTTTAGCATCATGTTTCTAATTATTTTTGCATGATGCTGAAACCAGAGGTTTTCTCCTTCTAGGTTTAACTTTTAGCACCCAGTCTTTTGTTTTCTGCTTTTTGTAAAGTTTCTAAAGAAATGTTTTTGGAGATTACAGTAGTTACATTTACATAGTATTAATCTTTCCGGTGACCTTACAAAGTAGACATCCATTGTTGTTTACAGATATGTAAATCGTGCTCTGTATCTTTTACATCTTACATGTGGTCCATCTCATCCAAATACTGCTGCAACATACATTAACGTTGCTATGATGGAGGAAGGCATGGGCAATGTGCATATTGCCCTTAGATATCTTCACAAAGCTCTGAAATGTAACCAAAAATTACTTGGTCCAGATCATATTCAGGTTTGGTTCTTCATTTTTCTGCTGATCATTGAATGTCATCTTATGATATTATTAAATATCCTCCAAAATTGCTCTTTTTGTCTTAAAAACCTTTTGATAAAAAATTCCTTCTTTTCTTAACCTCACCAGACAGCAGCAAGTTACCATGCTATAGCAATTGCATTGTCATTGATGGAAGCATATCCTTTGAGTGTCCAACATGAACAAACAACTTTGAAAATCCTCCAAGCAAAACTGGGTCCAGATGATTTGCGTACACAGGTATATTTTTCAGTCTGTGGGTTAATAAGGTGCTCTTTTTCTTGGATGCATTCAAGTTAGTGCCCTAGCTACATATTAGATGAATGCTTCGTGGAGATGATTCATAGCACGAAAAGATGGAGAATTCCTAGACCTGGAGTTTTATGGTGCCATGCGAGATTGAAATTTAATTGACAGTAAAGATCATAGCGGTTTTACAGCTTTCAACTTATAGCAATCAACGGCTTAACTCCTAATTTCTAGTAACATATGGTAGAACCCTTTTTACCAGTGTCATGAGCACGGTAAACTTTATGATTATTAATCTATCATTTTCACTTAAAACTAAAAATATGTAATTATATTGTTTTGATGCATTGCTGCAGGATGCTGCCGCTTGGCTTGAATACTTTGAGTCCAAGGCTTTTGAACAGCAAGAGGCTGCTAGAAATGGTACCAGAAAGCCAGATGCATCCATAGCTAGCAAGGGACACCTAAGGTAAATTAAATTAGCATATTCTCTGAAGATAAGGATCCTGATAAAGTTGAATGTTTTATTTGCTGATCCTATACTCCAATTATTTCGTATCTTCCATTAATAACTACCTTATTTTGTTCCTTGTGGAAGTCCCTATCCGATTATCACCACTTCATGGCATATGCCTGTTCTGGTGTGCGCTACAGATTTAGAATATTTTGCAGTTTCTTTCCTATGTAAACAAATTCATACATTCTTGACCTTGCTGATAGTACTGATGTTTCATTTTGGCAGTGTATCTGATTTACTGGACTACATTAATCCAACTCACAATGCCAAAGAGAAAGATGTTATGAACATCAAGAGGAGAAGCCATGTTACAAAGGTAGTCTGCAGTTTAAAATGCAGTTCTTCAGAAGTACTTAAGCCTTTTATTTTGCAGATGGTTTTGTTTGTTAGTGGAGCAGTATATAGACTTAGTTGATAGAACTTAGAAGAACCAATGGCACGTTCCTTTGCTTAAAGAAAAAATTTAAGAGATGATGGGGAGAACTCACCGGACAGACTAATTCTGAAAGTTGCCAGTGAGCACATATCAGGGCAAGGGTATTATACCAGCATGCATGACCACTAATATATATGCTGTCCCTTTCTTATCTCTGCCATTTTCTCTGCAGGTGAAGTTAAAACCAGACCAAACATCTGGTTCAGCAAGTTCTGATGAATCTCCGGTGATAGCCACAAAAGAAGCTTCAGATGAGGAGATACATTTTTCTAATCAGGAAGGTGATGTAGATGCCACCCAGGAGACCAGCTCTTTGCCAGTACATTCCTCGGTTCCTGAATGTGAGGAGACTACAGAGAGAAAGCTAAACATTGCCAATGAAACCCTGACTGAATCAAGTGCTGAAGGAGATGATGGGTGGCAACCAGTTCAAAGGCCAAGATCAACTTCCTCACTTGTTCGGAGACTTAAGCAACGGTGGGGAACTGTTACTAAGGTATATAACTATCAGAAAAAGAATGTGACCGCTGATGTGGACGTCACTCCAGTAAAGGCTCTAAATCAAAATAATGGGTATTATGTCTTAAAGAAAAGGACTCTATCTCATGGAGCGTATACAGACCAGCACACTATGAATCCTCCCCGAGGTTCCAAATATGGACGTCGACACATTAAAACTGTTACTTATAGGGTTAAATCAATTTCTTCTTCCAAGACTGTTTCAACTGACACAAGTAGACCAGCAGATGAGGTGTTTGTTTCTCAAGTAGAAGGTAGTTTTACAGTTCCACCAACTTTTCAGGGGCAAAAAAGCCCCATAGTCAGTCTCGGAAAATCACCATCTTATAAGGAAGTAGCATTGGCTCCACCAGGTAGTATTGCTATATTGAAGTTTACAGAATCCCAAAGTGATCCTCCTAATAAGCAGGAGCTCTGGGTTGAAAACCATCAAGAGGTTGATGGGAATGAAATGAAAGCAAATTCTGACTCAGTGGGGATGGGGCCAGAGAATTTATGTCAAGAGAGGAAAGAGGTTGTTACGTTGGAATCAAAGGATGACTTTGATAAGGGAACTGGTTTTGCCGAGGGTAAAGAAGATACCAGCTCAACTAACGGAATAGAATCTAAATCTTCTTTGATGGCATCTGAGAGTGAGGAGAAAATAAAGTCTAGTGAATTTGAGGTTGAGGAAGTTAAACAGGACAGCATGTTGATTACTGGCGTACCAGATTCCATTGATTCTCCCAAAAAGGAACTCCTGGGGAAGGAGACTTCAGAAAGTTTTGAATCCCACAGTGATTCAAATACTGCATTACAAGACGTAGTGGATTTGAAGGTTGATTCAGGTGAATCTAGGCGATTAACCAATAAGAAGTTATCGGCATCGGCAGCTCCATTCAACCCATTAACTACTGTTGCACATTCTCCACCGGTCACCATGAATATTGCTCTTCCTCCTGTTCCAGCTGTTGCACCTTGGCCAGTGAACATGCCTCTTCACCCCTCCCCTACTACCGTCTTGTTGAATCCAATGTGCTCATCCTCTCACCATCCATATCCATCACCTCCTCTAACCCCAGACACGATGCAGCCTCTACCTTTTATGTATCCATCATATACTCACACCCAGCCAATACCAACCAGCAGCTCATATCATACAAGTCAATTTTCATGGCAATACAATGTGAACCCCAATGTATCAGAGTTCATTCCTGGAACAGTTTGGTCTGACTGTCACCCAATGGTGTTCCCTGTTCCACCACCAGTTGTTGAGCCAATTGCTGAGCCCATATTGGAGCCCAAAGTGAAACATGATATTTCTGCAAACCATAGTTCAGCTCAAACTCTGCCAGTAGAGGTTGACACTGTGGGAAAAACTAAGAAAGAGGTCTACCTTCCAGCTCCTGAGACAATAAATATTGTGAATGACGAGGCAGCTGGGGTTGGACAGGACAGTCAAAAGGAAAATGGCCATTCAAATAAATTTGGGGTTGGAGCTTCTGGGAATGGACCAGTGCAGTACAACATCCCAAATGGAAATGCTGGATGCAGTGCTGAAAGGAAGAATGATGGTGAGAAAACCTTCAGCATTTTAATGAGGGGTAGAAGAAACAGAAAGCAGACCTTGAGAATGCCAATTAGTTTGCTAAATCGGCCATATGGCTCGAAGTCTTTCAAAGTGATTCATAACCGAGTAATCCAAGGGAGTGAAGCTCCAAAATTTACCAGCTTCTCTTCAAGTGAAGATTGTACAACTAACACAACATGAACAGAAGTTTTGTTTTCTTAGCAACCAATCATGGCAGGAATTTGGGATCAAAGCAAAGAATGGTGTTAATAGATCTTCTCTGCATGCTGACAATTACTTTGCTGAATTGGTTTCCATCATCTAAGATACAGGTCAGTTTTCTATAATTACTCCTGAAGAAATATGCATCTGTCATGGCCTCATTCATTGAGTTTTATCCTTTTGGCCATTTTTTTCAACATTGCAATTTTCTTCATGATGGGTACAGTGGTTTATTGTTGGATCCTGTAAGTACTTCTATGCGGCAGAGACTGGTGAAACCTTCTCAAATATTCTCCCTATGATTTCCAAGTATGCTAACGTTGAAAAATGCAAATTTTGCAGATGCTTTTTTTTTTCTTTCTTTTTTCATTTTTGATCGGCACAGATGCTTTCTGTTTCACTTGGTATTTAAAGTTTGACTTAAATGTCCTAACAGTATATGGACACTTGAAACATATTTCCTTTTTGTAGTGTACGGAACAAAAATGGACCTTATCTTTTTCTAATTTCCTCTACTATATTACATTTATAAGTATATTGAAAACCACTGGACTAAGATTCTATGAAGTAATACGTTGCTTTTGTTTAATCTTGCAGTTTCACACAAGTTAATGATTGGGACATGGGCTGTTGTTAAGGTGACAATTTTGGTTCGGAATACATTTTGAACATTTTCCATATATTGGATCACAGCATTTAAAGACTGATTTTGCCAGTTTGATTATAGCAATGACGTTGATGATGATTCATTTGATTATGTTATTGTGTATCTGACTCTAATTTTTGACATTGGCATCAACACATTGTTCAGGTTAACTAAGAGTAGTTCCGATGCAACAATTAGCGCAACACCAGAAAACATAGAAGTATATGAGCTTTTGACACGCTCGGACACTCCCAGGGTTTCTTGTGAAATTACTGAAAGTCAGGTTTTGTCAAGAAAGAGCCCTTTTGTTTCAACTTGATAGATAAGCAATTACAGTTCACAAAACCAAGACAGAAAACTTTTCACTCCTAGTCCTTGCCAAGAAAATCTGAATGCAGCTATTTGCCTATTTTATCATTCCAAAACCGAAAGCATATATAGAGCCCATGGAAATTCAACCATGAAAGCAGCTTGACATGACCTGGTTTCTCCAAGGCTACATGGGGCACCACAACAAATCAAACTTGTCGGCGTCACTCAGAATTTTTCTTTACTAGCTTACAACAGAAACATTTACCTTTAAAGAGCTTAAGGTTGCCTGTTTAAATCGGATTCATTTGGAAGGATGATGAAGGCAGGGAAGGTTTCCTGGATCTTCTCAAGCAAGCTAACGCTTCTAAAACAATAACTGCAACAAGAATTATTCCAACAAGAAAACCATACCCGATCTTCCAGTCATTCTTTGCTTCTCCATAATGAATACCTAACACCACGTTCAAAGCTCCAAAAAATAGTGCCATCCTCCCTGACCAGTGATGGTACCAGTTCCAGTATATTCTGATCTTTGAATCCTTGTTTGGCCGGAGAAAGAATGCCAATACCTGGAATCAAGTTTTTTTTTTTTCCCCTTTTCAATTACCTTCTTCATTTCACCCAAAAAAGAGAAAAAAAAAAAAAAAAAAAAAAAAAGAGAGCTGTAGTGAATCAGTTAAGGGGCAAACCTGAAGAATGCTAAGCACAAGAACAAAGATTCCTATGCCTTTATGTGCTGGTATGTCAGCGTCTATCCTGTTGTAGAGTTGTATTCCAACAAGTACAGCGGCAAGGCCAATGATAAATCCCACAAGCTGAATTCCTGCGTGAAGATAAAACCACAGTGGATCTTTGTGCCTTAAGTATCTTGCTACAATTGCACCCACAGGAAGGATTAAACCCCATCCGATGATCGCCAAAATCCCATGATCTCTCTTGTCGGTAGAAGCAATGTTTACAGCAGATGCTGCAAAGACAATAAACTTCTTCTTATTTCTTTCGTCTGGTCATTTCTTTCCCCAAAACATACTACAACAATCAGCAAAAGGAAGATTAGCAAAGAATAAACAAACCTTGAGAGAAATCAAACCAGAGAGCTGTTTTGTCATCGTGTCTTTTCAGGTGGTAGAGATTTGGATATCTGCTTCCAAAGGCCAAGATGATAGGTTGGCGAGAGAGACGAGCTGGGAACTTCACTTGAAATGCCAAGTAAATCATGGCTCCATGAAGAGCAACAACAGGTGGAACATGTTTAACCAGTTCCAATTTTCCTTTATCTGGTATGACTTGTGATGAATGGTAACCCTCCAAGTAGTACTGCTTGATTCTTGGATGACCCTTTTTATTGAACCATCCCACCATACAGCTGGATCCAACCATCATTCCACTGTTCGAAAACCCTATTCCTACCCATCCAGTGGTGTATACAGCAGATAATACAATTGTCATCACATGGTCTTCCCTTTGAAAATACTGCATGAAGTGGCAGCAAATTTACACAATTCAATTAGTTTTTCAACACAACCATATAATGCTTCTGATTTCACATATTGAACGGTTCAATTTCACTCCATGAGAACATAATCATGTACAAAACGAAGGCATGAAAAGTTCATAAGTCAACATCTCTTCATTAAAACAGGGAATGGGATAAGTAAAAAGATAGATTTACAACATCTCTTCAAAAGGGGTTTTTGTTTGTCTATCTTAGGAACAAAATGTCTTGGGTCCTTTTATCAAACATCAAGAGATCATTGTAACCAATCAATTTTACCATAAACAACAAAGAGAAAATTTCATCAATTTATCCATGAAAGAAGCAACAAAGTTGAAATTAATGTAAACAAATTGCATGTAAAAAAGAAAACTTACCCTCAAAAGAAAGGTATTCCAAATCGGAGTGCAAATCATTTTGGATATATTGCCATAAGGTGGGGCAAGAACAGCACTCAGATCGGTGTCACAAAGCTCAAATCTCTGTCCTTCGCCATAACCGGTACCACTAACAGAACCACTAGCACCCTGAGGCTGAGGCCTTACCTGGTCATAATCTTTTTGTGTACTATTGTCCTTCCCCAGGGCTTTATGATTATCTCCCTCATCCTTCTCTGCACCAGCTGCAAAAACCTTGGGTCCAAAGAAAAACCCCAAAATGCACAACCCGATAAGAACCCAGGAAAGAGAAACCCGGAATCCTAAATCCGCCATGGAGACCTAAGGCATCCCTGAGAAGCAGTAGTTGGGTTTCGGCGAGAAGGTGATAGAACAAGGAGAGAAAGTGTAAAGGAGAAGGCATTCAGGTGGGTAAGACGTTTCAGTTCCTTCAAACCAACGGATGCTGCATTAGGGTTGTTGGCGATGGTGAGGATGATGGTAGTTGGTGCTGGCGGGTAATCATCATTCCCGCCAATTCCAGCTCCCAATAGCATTGCTTATTTGCTTGTGTGTTATGTTTCTTCTGGTTTTAGTTCGATTTCCTGTTAGAAAGCTTCTTCTTTTTTTTTTTTTTAATTAGGATTGGCTGCAATGATTAGAATATAGAACAGGTCAATTTTTAGGTGCTTAAAGAGAGAGAGAGAACAAAAAAGAGAGTGTTTTTCAGGTTATATCATTGTATATACAAACACCAAGATTATTAAAATATTATTAATAATTTTGTTTATATTTATTTATTAATGATAATTTAATAATTTTAGTATTAAATTACATTTTTAATATATAACTCATATTGAAATACATAAAATTTTATGTTTTCTTTTTCAAAAATATGACAAATTTTTGTTTCACATCCTCTCACTCCTAAGATTTTAGTACTGAAAAATGAATTTAAATTTATTGATATTTTGAGGATTAAAGGTTAAATCAATGTAGGTCCACTCTAATTATTGATAAGCTTTGCCTTTGTGTATAAACATATACTTGCGTCACCTTTTGCATTGACAACTCAACTAAAATGATTTCGTTATCAAGAAAAAAATTAGTACCTAAAGAAATAGAATGGAGGTTTAGTGATCTTGATTTGGAATCAAATAATGTTCGTGTTGTATTTTATTAATTTCATTAGGTTAAAATTCTATTTTGGTCCCTTTACTTTAATAAAAATTTCCTTTTTAATTTATCTACTTAAGAAAGCTCCTTTTTACTTCTTAAAGCTTATTATTTGACCCATTTTTAGTTCATTTATTATCTTTTTTCACAAATATCATGTTAAATAATGAAAATCCCAAAGTAGAAGATTAAAAAGAGACTTTTTTTTTAAAGTAGAAAGATCAAAAAGTGGCTTTTTTTAATCCTTTTTTAGTCCCTCTATTTTAGAATTTCCATCATCTAATGTGCAACATGAGCAAAAATTAACAGAGAAACTAAAAAGGGCCAAATAATTAACTTTAGGGACTAAAAAAGAGTTTTCTTAAGTTAAGGGATTAAAAAGGATTTTTATTAAAGTACAGGGATAAATGGGGCTTTAACCATAACACTAAAGTTAAAGTTGGGTAAAGGAGATTTTTTTTTTTATATTGATTGTACAATAAAAGGTAACCATTCCTCATTCCTCATTCCTCATTCCTCATTTCTCATCCCTTATCTTATTCTATTCACATACCATACGAGTTATACTTAAGACCTTTTACTTCTAACTAAAAGAAGTTATTACTGAATTATTTAAATTATTAATGGTAAACAAGGTTTTAATCTACTTACAAGATAGATTGAGATCTTTGATAAGTTTGAGTTTCGATAATGGACTCTTGAGTTTACACACATCCTTGAATTGTTAATGTAAGCCATTTAGAATTTGGTTTTGTATTGAAGAATTAATGATATATGAACATTGTCTCTTGGAAGTGAACAAAGGGGATATATTTACTTTGTAATAATTTCTCAATTCACTAACAAAAATAAGTAATTTGATGATTTTTTTTTATTAAAAATAATATATCTTGAATTCAAATTACATATCATACGAGTAAGATGAGTTAAGAGATAGGAGAGAATTATTAATTAATCAACAAATCTAACTAGCTCTTATAAGTGAACAAAGGAGATATATTTACTTTATAATAGTCTTTTAATTCACCAACGAACTTAAGTAGGTTAGTGTTAATTTTTTTTCACTAAAAATAAGAGATCTTGAGTTTAAATAGTATAATATGTAAATGGAATAAATTATATTTCATTTTATACCTTAAAATAAAAAAATAAAAAAAATAAAAACCTCTTGATTCGTCTACAATTACAAGTACAATCACGTTTAGCGCATTGGATTAAACTAGGTTTTTTTTTTTTTTTGAATTAGTACAATCGAGGATGAAAAATGGAATAGCCAAGGCTTGAATCTTGGATTTCGCAGTCACATTTAGCTCATTGGATTGAACTAGTTTTTTATTTTTATTTTATTATTATTTTTAACAAACTAATACGATGGAGGGACAAAAAAAATAGAATTGCTAAGACTTAAATCTTGGATTTCTAAATACTAGCATGCTTCTTAAAGAAGTTGTGACCATTGACCACAATGATGTTCGGCATTGGATTGAACTAGTTAATCCATCTTGGATGATGTCATCCACAGAAATCAAGTGGGGAAGAAAAGAAACTTGAAGTTAACACAGTAACAAAATCACTTACCCAATAAAAATTTTTTTAAAAAAAAACACTAACAAAACTTTTTATATTCATGCGGCAAGAATGATACCCATGTCTATATATATAGTTTTACGATAAAAAATAATTTTTTTATATTTTTTGTTTTACTTATTTTATTTCACTTCATTTACATATTTTATAAAAAAAAATTTATTTTTAATAAAAAGATATTATCATTAATATATTTAAATCATTCACAATATCAATATTTATTATTCACATAACACAACATGAAAAAGACACCATAAAGTAAAATTAGAAAATGAAAAAGTGTTTTATAGATTAAATTACTTATTAACGTGCAATCTAACATATAAATTTAATAAAATACTTTTCATAGTATCATTTTTTATATTATTTTATTAAATATGTTTTAATAACTTTAAAGTGAAGATCTCATTTTTAATATATAATATTGCTCGTAAAACATGGTTTCCATTAGTAAAACCCACACATTAGATAAAATATATAATCATAAGTTAGACATTTGGGGCCTCATAGAAGGGAAATACTGTGTACAACCATTTACAAGGTCTGCTACGGTCTGAATGTTTGAAATGTACGAGAGGGTTCAAGAGCTCTGCATAAAGATGTGCCTGCACCAACATACACTTAATGGCTCATCTTCTTCCTCTTCTTTGCTTCTTTTTTCGGTTTCAACAGGTTTAAGACCTTTTCATTTTCCTCCATTTGAGACCTTTCTGAGGCTTCATAATAAGCTTCTGCCTCTCTCAGATACAAAAACAGAGCTCATTAGTATGACCCAGAAAGGTTTTTTTTTTTTTTTTTCATTTTGATAAACAGAAAGGATTGATTAAAGAAGAAGCAATTAAAAACAGAGCTCATTAGTGACAGATGTTGTTGGTGAAATAAAAAATTGGGTTTGTTTTTTGGGTGCCAAGAGGAGGGATCTGCAATGACCTTGCATCTGCATTTCTACTCTTTATTTATTTTTTTTCCTTTTGAGGAATGCATTTCTACTATTTTCTTCATCTGATGTCAACTCCTCTGTGACTGTCTTGACGTTCTCAAGGGGTCCTGAATGTCTGATATCAATGGATTCCCTCTCCCTGGCTATCCAGTATGACACAGGGTTTTGAGACTCCAAATTCTTTCTTTGTTTATGCAGTTTAGAACAAAGACTTGTCAAACCCTGCTCATTGCTTTCATAGATAAATTGTATTCGAGGTTCGCACATGAACAAACAGGGGGGTGTAGCTCATATGGTAGAGCGCTCGCTTCGCATGCGAGAGGCACGGGGTTCGATTCCCCGCACCTCCAAGCATACTTCTTTTTCTATGAATAAACAGCAATCTACATGAAATTTTCAAATTTTATAATAGAAGTTGAAATGAATAAATCTAAAGAATAATAAGAAAAATATAGTCAACTCTATTTTCTTCTCT